TGGACCAGGGTTCAAGGCAATGCTACGCACAACCCAGGATTTGTTCACGGCTCTTCACATAAAAATAAAGTCCCCACCGCCTTGGCCTACAACTTCGTACCTTTAAGGCTGAGTACATAATGAAATCTTTATCCAAAATTAACCGTCAACAAATGGGAAAATCGCATCACACCTACTTCCTGCACCACTTCATAGCGACATGGGAATCATGCAAAGGCCATTCGTTTGAAGAGTTCAAAGCCAACACGATCATTAACCAACTCGATGACCAATTGTGTCAACATCCTTGTTGGGTTACCGTTAACATTTTCAGTGTTATTTTTACTATGCCAGTGTTACTATATTTCCCCTCAAAATAACGTGTTCTTCCAGCAACCGGGCACAGTAATCCTGAAGCACAGGTAGTTCACCAAGATGCTGAGATTTAAATTCATAAAGAAATTCGGGGAGGGGAGGAAATTCTGGGGAGAGAAGCAGGAGACAGGCGCTTTGGGCTTCACCGCTTTCTAAAGCAGTGCTTCTCAGACTGTGATGAAGAATTTCTAGTTATATTCAAAATGTAAGTTTAAAAAATATTTTTTATTGATTTTTTTTTTTTTTAGAGAGAGTGAGGAAGGGAGAGGGGATGAGAGAGAGAGAAGAGAAAAAAACACCATAAATGTGAGAGGGAACATCTATGGGCTGCCTCCTGCACACCTCCAACTGGGGATGGAGCCGGCAACTGGGCATGTGCCCTTGACCCGGAATTGAACCAGTAACTTTTCGGAGCCCAGGAGTCACACCAGTCAGAGCTCAACCCCACTTTTCAGTTCTTGGGTTCCACAGACATAAAGTCACTCTGTCACCTGCTCCCGAAGTTCCTAAATGCCTCCTCTCCACTTCTACCCCTCATCACAGACCAGTCACCATCAGCCTGGCCACCATCCACAGACCACAGACCACACCTGGGGTGGCCCTGGCCAAAAGCATCATTCCTTTTTCAGGACTGGAATTCTTATTTTATAGACGTTAAATCTCTGAAATGCAACAGGGTCCACCCCGACCTCTACCCAGAGCTCTGATAAGCAAACTGGGGGTACTGTGCTTCCACTGCCCAGTAGCAGAAGGCACTGGACAGTGGTGAGCACGGGCTTGAGGCGTAGGCGCTGACCTTGCCCCGACACCCTGTGCGGAAGGACCCTGTTCTTCAGCATCAGCCCACAGTCGCTGAAGGGCTCCGGTTTGGGCTCCAGCGACAGATCCAGATTCACCCGCATCCAAAGCTGCCGCACACGGCGCTGCTTCAGCCGGGACAGAAAGCCCTGGACGCGCTCAGGCTGCCGTCATATCCCGTGGACCTCGGGGGTCCAAGGAGGCATCCCTGGTTCTGTCTCTTGACCGTGAGCAAGACACTCCATCTTCTGCTTAGGCCCCATCAGGGACGGGGGGTGTGGGATGGGGGTTAGAATGCTGCCTCACTCCCTGGGAGTGACATAGCCCAGAGGGATTGACAAGAACAGCAGGGCAGGGGGTGAGGGGGAATGAATGTACGTGTGTGTGTGTGTGTGTGTGTGTGTGTGTGTGCGCATGTGTGTGAGAGAGAGAGAGAGAGAGAGAGAGAGATACAGGGCGGGGCAAATGTAGGTTTACAGTTGTTCATAAGTAAAATAACACAACAATCTATAATAATAAAAGCGTAATATGCTAATTAGTCCAGATGGCCAAACAGTGGAGTGACCTTCCGGACAAAACAGGGCTGCGAGGGCCGAGCCCCTTGCACGAATTTCGAGCATCAGGGCTCTAGTTAATAAATAATAATTCACGAATAAACTCCGTGTTTCGCATACTCACACCTGTAACCCTACATGTGTTCTACTCCCTACATGTATGTACCTATATGAAGAATTACTCTTTCTCACATGGTACTCCCCCCCACCCCTGCAACTATACACTGTAAACCCTTGACAATCCATGGGCTTTTAACGCCTTGCGCCATGAAGGCCCGAGTGCTATCAGCATCCCCCTCGATGAAATGACGATCCAGGCCGCCCTGGGGATGTGTCCAGCTCTGCGCACGCTCACACCACAGCCGCTGGGCTTCTGAAACCACGAGTCCCATCGCAGTTCACCGCTAACTCCCTGCAGGGCCTCCCAGCCGCCACCTCCGGCCCAGCCGTCCTGGGTTCACCCAGTGTCCCCACTCGCCCCTGGCTGTACAATCAAGTCTCGGGACCGGCCTGCCAGCCATCTGCCCTTCCATCCGCTGATGCTCGCTTGCCTGTTTGTGAGTCCTCCCGGGTGACCCTGAAAGCTGGCCCCCAGCACGCATTTGTCCTGCCCTCGGATGTTCCCAGGGATCTCAGTCCGACAGCCATGCCCCAGCGCCGGAGATGCTGGGGGTTGTCCGGCGGCAGGAAGTACCTGTTCTCCCTAAACACTCCCATCAGAGCCTCAACCCCTCGCTTCCCTGCTTCAAATCCTCCTCCGGGGTTAGTCAGTCAACACATTGGGGGGAAAAAAAAGCTGTGGGTGAACTCTGACCTGAAGGCTCTTCCCATTCAAAGAACTTCAGGTTAGGAGGTCTGCTGAAGATCACCACCCAGCTGAGCACGGCCTGTTCTCCCCCGCAGTGAGGCCAGGTCGCCCTCCAATGCAAGCTTGACCTTCCCCAGGGACAGGGACCTCGCTCTCTCCTGGGCAGTTTGCCTGGTGAGCGAGTTCGCCTGCGTGCTGACCTGGGAGCTATCTGCCTGCCATCACTAGGTGTTATTCAGCCTTTGCCCACATGGTCGGGTGACCTATGGAACCAACCACATCTCTCTGACGTGCTGGCCCCGGGGCAGCTGAGGACCCTTCTCCGGACTAAGCCTGCCAGGAGGCGGCTTCCAGGTTCCTCAATACTCCAGTCACCTCCCCTCTGGACTGCTCCGATGGCCTGCCCAGGTCCTGGGGTCCTCTGTGCTGTGGCGTTTCCTCATACTCTGTTCCATCTCTCTATTCCCTCCCTGAATGGCACAGACATGGCCTCCCAGGGAGCCCATCCAAAGGTCCCAACAACACAGGAATCCATGTCCACCCAGAGCCAGCACGATGGCCCCCATGGATGGTGGCTGCACATACATGTTTCCTGTTACTCCCCATGCATTCAAGTTGGCCCGATTGCTCATAGGACAATAAACATGGCACCACGGTATAATCGGGACCTCAAAGCCAGTCTTCCACAAGCCCACCTGCTGCCTGGCCTGCATGTTAACCCCGGGTATCAGCCCTCCGACCCTCCTCTTGCAACCTGAGCCCCTTGCTCACGTCTGTGCTTTCGATGTTACCATTCATGAGGGTGACGGGAAAAGCCATCCAACATTCCCCTACTGACATGCTAGCTACGTCCATTCTGAATTAACATCTGCATAGTCCTTTGTACCACACTCATCGCAATCTTCAGAGCAGCCCTAGGGGTGGGTGTCCTCCTCGCTTTACACAGGAGGAAACTGAGGCAGACCTGGAACTGAGGACCCCTGGAACCCAAGGGTCATCTGATTTCCTATTTATTTCAATGTCGGGAGCTTAGCAATCTGAGGCAGGACAAGTTTTCTAAGGTTAAGTTCCAAGAACCAAATAAAGAATGAGCTGCAGAGGGGAAAAAATAGCAGAGGATTCGGGTTCTGTCTCGGGCTTTGCTGCGAATGAACCCCCAGGTTCAGGCGGCGGGTCCCCAGTTTCCTCATTCATAAGGTCGGGGGACTGAGGTCAGACTCCCAGCTGTCCCCCGTCTGTGGCCCTGTCTCCACCAAGTTGCTAAATTAGGCAGAGAAGATGGCTGAAATGCCTTTCTCTTTTGTTCCTTGTGTTTCCAGTTTCTAAGATTAGCTGGGCGGTATTTGGTGACTCCCAGCGGGTCCCTCAAGCAGGAAGAAAACTGCCATCTCCACAGTGTTCATGCTTAAGCAGCTCCTTCTGCGATAAGAAGATAAATCTGGACACGCCGGCCACAGGCTGCACCCACGAAGGCCCTCACCCCACGCAATAGCACCCTTACAGCCACGAGTTCTCAGAACCGCGGTTCTCAGCACCCAGGGGACGTGTGCGATGGGGAAGGTGCCATAGGGATGCAGTGAGCGGAGGCCAGGAGCGGAGGCTACTCACCCTCCGACGCACAGGACGGTCCCCACAACCCAGAAGGACCTGGCCCAAGATGCCCACAGTGCTGAGGCGGAGAGTCCTGTCTTAAAGGGTGAGGTCAGAGAATGGCCCCAAAGTCTCCCTAGTGTTTTATTTTCAACTAGAGGCCCGGTGCACGGATTCATGCACTGGTGGGATCCCTCAGCCTGGCCCGCGCCCTCTCGCAATCCGGGACCCCTTGGGGGTTGTCGAACTGCCCGTTTCAGCCATGGGATGTAGCGGTGCGGGAAGTGGCAGGCGGCCAGGGAGGAGCCCGAGCTGGGGCCGGGCGCCGCTTCCCCGCATCCCGGCCCCTCTGTGCCCGCTGCCGCCGTGCGGTAGCACTGCCATGAGGCGCGAGAGGCTCGTGCCACCGCAGCTGCTCTCACCAGCCGTGAGCCCAGCTTCTGGTTGAGCGACGCTCCCGCTGTGGGAGCACACGGACCACCAGGGGGCAGCTCCTGCTTTGAGTGTCTGCCCCCCGGTGGTCAGTGCACGTCATAGCGACCGGTCAACCGGTTGTTCGCTCATTCGGTCGCTTAGGCTTTTATATAGAGATATTTTTTATAGATTTTTAGAGAGAGAGGAAGGGAGAAAGAGAGCAAGGGAAACATTGATGTGAGAGTAAAACAGCCGATTATCTGATGGGCTGCCTCATGCACCCCCCTCCAGAAGATCAAGCCCACAGCCCCAGTTTGTGCCCTGACTGGGACTCAAACAGCGACCTTTCCGTGCACGAGACACCCAACCCACTGAGCCGCACCAGCCAGGACCCTTCCTAGTGTTTTGTCGGAATTGGCCCACGTGAGAGGCTAACCAGACGGCTGATCTGAGAGAACCGAGGCTCTGGAAACCTCTCTTACCTTGCGAAGAAGGACGCGGCCACGGAGGTGCCCGTGGAGGTCTCGGTGGCCACACAGGAGCCCTGCGAGGCCGGGGCGCCGGAGGCGGACAGCTTGTCTGCATTGTAGCGATTCAGCGCCGCTTCGGACAGGCCCTCCCGGCCCGTCTCTGTCATCAGCTGGGAGATCTGAGGAGGAAACGGACACAGAGCTCATTACTGGGGTTCGCCACGTGCCCTGACCACCACTGACAGTGTCGGGGGGCAGGGAAAGGAGCACATCCCCCCATCACACAGCATACACGGTGCTCAGGGCCCCTCCACGGCCGTTTCTCAGCATTTCAGCCAGTATGCCTCCTCACTTGCGTTCAGAATAATGGAATAAAATCACCCGCTGACATTGTAAGTTTCCATTATGTCTGTCTCCCCTGCATTTGGAGGGGAGAGCACGAACCATTATCCGCAATGTTTGCAGCCCACGACCAGGCCGGTACCATCGACCACTGCCGGCTAGTGTCTTACCAGGAGTGGCCCCAAGTGCTCTCCAACAGACGAGGGGGCCAAGGCATCATTTTGTTAAGGGAGACATGAGCCTGCTGATGCTGGCATAAGGAATTGAAGCATCACTTGTTGTTTGCTGTAGGCAGTCGGCACGCAGATGACTTCCAAAAGCTCATAGAAATAGACAGAGTCGCCATGAATTTCAGGGGGGCTCACGGGGAGGGTGAGATCATTTCATTTTCCTCCTGGATCATTAAGATAAATGGCTCCCGTTTTATTTGCAATCACTGCCTTCATAACAGAAGTTCTAGCCGCTGGGGCCGGGTCCGTGTTGCCTAAATCCACATCATATACCATGAAGAGCTATACTTCTGGCCACAATGAGATACTTGTGTAGAAATCTACTCCAGGAAAGCGCTAATCCCGTGACAAATGGAATAATAATGCAGGCAAGTCCAGAGTGCTATTTCGAAAACCTGTGACATTAAAACTTTGGTCTATTTGTAAAAACCAAAAATTGTTTTAAAAAGGGGAAACTTTAGTTCAAAAAAAAAGTGTCTCCAGACAGCCCTGGCCGGTTTCTCAGTGGTTAGAGCATCGGCCTGTGGACCAAAGAGTTGGGGGTTAGATTTGTGGTCAAGGGCATGTACCTCGGTTGCAGGTTCCCCAGCCCTGGGGAGGTAACCAATTAATGTGTCTTTCTCACATCAATGTCTGTCTGTCTGTCTGTCTCTCTCTCTCTCTCTCTCTCTCTCTCTCTCTCTCTCTCTTTCTCCGCCTCCTCCCTCCCTTCCACTCTCTAGAAATCAATGGAAAAAATATCCTGGGGTGAGGATTTAAAAAAAAAAAAAAAAAGCCTGCAGCCAGCTCCAAGTTCTTAAAGCTGAGTGGACAGTGCTTCTAATTGCCTAGAAAATGCAAGTGCAATAGAGTGAGGGCAGGGGGCAGTTTCCTCTTTGTGACCGAGCAGATGGGGAGAGTCCCATTTGTTACCCTTTGGAACACAAACGCATTTGCGCTTTTCATTACTGGCCGAACAGCCATTACTCTGAGCCCCGGCGACCTGACACTTGGCTTAAATTCATGCGCTTACTTGGAAAGCCTTGGCATTGAGCCGCTGAAATTCTGCCCACGCACACTTTCTCCTTCTCATTCATTCAGCGCGCTGTAAGGAAACCCGACCCACATGAGAGCGCGAGTGGAGGCAGCAGAGGCCGCGGTGACTGGAGCACGTCCCGGGCTCAGCAAGGCGCTGCCCAGGGCAGGGACCGGCCACCTCTCCCTGGGCTGCCTCCGCTGCCCGCTGCGGTGGGGTCCCCTCCACCACCTGCCCCACTCCTGCAGGGACCCCTGGAACAACCAGGGGGCTGAAGATACGGCCATCACACTGTCCTCACCACAAAACAGCCCAGTGTCCGTGGGGGGCAGCCTGAGGCCCCCCCTGGGCGTGGGGGCCGGAGGAGGAGGAGGGGCTGGACCTGGGTCACCTCCCACCTGCTTCTGGAGGAAACAGACCCGGGCCACCAGCTGCAGCCCCTGGTCGGTCCTACAACACGTATGCGTGAGACGCTGCCACACGCCTCGGCCTCACCGTGACTCAGTCTCCCCGCTTCGGGACTGGCTCTCTGAGTGGCGTGGGGCAGACACCGCAGTCCTTAAAAGATCTGAGGCGTGATCCCTTCATGTCACTCTCGCCCCAGGCTCTGTCGCTGCCCCCACCCGTGGTGGCACACCCCTCCCAGGAGCAGCATTCTCCTGGCGGCGCATTTCATGTCGCGGCTGCGGCCTCTCAGACCTGTGGCCCAAGCGCACGCCCTTCAAAAGCGTCGCGGGGGGCTGGCTGCGGCTGCCAGCTCTGGCCCGGGCCCTGCTGTGTGTAAGTCGCCCGAAAGCATGGGCTGCTCCGAGGCTGGGGAGACCAGCCCCCAGGCTCCCTGCCCCTGCCCAGCCGCTCAGCGGCCCCACCTCCTGCTCCCAGGCCACGTGGGGCTCACGCGCAGGGCTGGCGGATGGGCTGGGTGGGAGCCCTCAGGTGTCGCCTGTGGAAGCTGGGTTCTAAGATTTAGCCATTTCCCCCTGAGGCAGCTGATGGGCAGGAGGATGGGGCCACTTACCCAGGGACAGGGAGTGGGGGAGCCAGGGCTGGACCCGGTTTATTTAACTCTGAGACTATCTCTATTCTGCACTCCACCCTCAGTCCAGTTCCCCTCCTTACCCCCCCCCAGGACCACTTCCTGTCCCGGGGCTGCTCTCGGCCCCTCCCACATCCACAGAGAGAAAATGCCCCGAGGGTGGGAGCCGGAGTGCCTGCTGCAGCGCAGGGACCACAGCGGGAGCCCGTGTACAGAGGACGAGGCTTGGCCTCTGCTACCCGGCCGCTCTGGATCAGTGTCCTCTCTCACGACACCCGAGAGAGATTCAGGTGCGAAACCCTCCAGCTAACACATTGGGAAACTGAGGCTCCGGTGGGGAGTCTGTTCCTCTGATGGTGTGTGTGCAGCCGGCTGAACCCTGCGGGTAGGTCCTACTCACAGACTAGGGGGCGGGGGACTAGATGTCTCAGCGCAGGGTTTTCTGGGTTTAGTTCTGATTAAAACCTGCCGTTAGCTCTCCACTCGGCTCCTCAGAACCAGTTCACTGAAGCAATGGTATCTGTTACTTTCAAAACACCATGGAGAGTGTGCACATGTGTGTTCGCACATGTGTGCTTATGCGTGTTTGCACGTATGTTGTACATGTGTGCCTGTACATTTTTGCACATCTGTGTGTTTACACATGTGTGCTTTGAGCATGTGTGTGCCTGTGTACATTTGTGCATGTGTGTTTGCACGTGTGTGCTTTTGAGCGTGTGTGCATGTGTGTTTGCACATGTGTGCTTGTGAATGCGCATTTGCATGTGTGTGCTTGTGCATGTGTGTTTGCGCACGTGTGTGCTTGTCCATGTGGGCCCTCAGCATGCATGAGAGCCCCAGCTATCACTCATGTGCACGGAGGCTGCTCTTCGCAGACCTCACAGACAAAGCCAGCTCCACGTCTTCAACCACATACACATTTGCTCTCATCGTTCAGTATGAAGGGCTGTAAATTCATCCCCAAAGAAATAGAAAATCTTCAGTTTGGCAATGCGCTTGCCCACAGAGTCAAGACAAAAGATGTCTGGCTCTCACAAGCCCAGGTCGCTTCCACATCTCGAATGGCAGTCTGTGAGCCACTGGCCTCTAACCCCCTGCTGCCAGCGACTCTGAGCTGCCAGCGTCTCCGGGTGGGGTTGGTCTCAAATGGCATTCCTGACCCAGAAAGCTGCCTCCTCTGGCTCTGCCGAGGCTGCCGGGACCGGCAGCATCCATTTCCTGTGCAGAGGCACCCAGAGGCGGCAGGTGCATCCGTCTCCAACCACATTTAATCACGTGTAGCTAACATGTAACAGCATTTTCTCTCGGGCAGTCACCGTCTCACTGTTTGGGGACATCTCTGATTGTCACTGATCACTAACCCTGTTACTTAATGTTCTCATGGTTGTGCAAACAGTGGGTGCCCAATAACTATTTCTGCGCACAAACCAACTTACAATTCTCTCAGAAAAGGTAACCCTTGGTACAGTCATGGGATGCAGCTACGCTGTTGGCTGCCGAACACTTAGGATGCCAGGATACATTCTCAGACAGCCCATGTGAAATATAAACCAGGGAAGCATATCTGCCAACAAAAAAGATTAAAAATGTATTCCCAAACCAAAGATCAAACTAAGTGCACTGCGCACGCAATGCCCCACGTCAGCCACGGGGATGCTGATGTGCACAGAAAGTCATCTGCTCCGTGCAGCATCCAGGCCACACTTTAATAATTTATCTTCATTGTTGAAAGTATTACAGATGCCCCCTTTCCTTCCCCCATTGACCCCTTCTAGCCTGCCCCCTGCCCCAGGCCTTCATCACCCTATTGTCTGTGTCTATGGGCTATGCTTATCCTATATAATAAAAGGCTAATATGCAAATTGCCCCCTCGGGAGTTTCGACCACCAGCTATGACATGTGCTGACCACCAGGGGGTGCGCAGAACAAAGGAAGGCCCCAGCCAGCAGATGGGAGCAGTGGAAGGAAGGCCCTGGCCAGCAGCTAGAAGGCCCCGATCGGCCCTGATCACCAGCCAGGCCTGGGGACTCTACACGTGCATAAATTTCGTGCACCAGGCCTCTAGTATACATATAAGTTCACCCATTAATCTCTCTCCACCCGCCCTCTCCTGCTTTCCCTGAGATTCCACAGTCTGTTCTATGCTGCTATGTCTCTGGATCTATTTTTCTCATCAGTTTATTTTGTTCTTTATCTTCCATATATGAGAGAGACCACATGACACTTGTCTTTCTCTGGCTGGCTTGTTTCACTTAGCGTAATACTCTCCAGGTCCCTCCAGGCTGTCTCAAAGGGTAAGAGATCCTTCTTTTTTTGCTGCTTCATAGTGTTCTGAGGTGTAAATGCACCCCAGCTATTTTTATCTTCTTATCTGAGTCTTATCTCTGGCTGCAGGAAGATGCGGCAATCCCCTCTCGGAGCACAGAGCAGACTCCGCCCTCCCCCTGGCAGCCTGCACTTTGCACAAAGGGCTCCTGCCTTAGCACCCACGGTGCATGGCGTTTGCTTTGGTACCACTCCTTCTGGGGCCAGAAGGCTTCCTTCCCTGAGTTACGC